ACCCCTGAACCCTAAAAACCTAACCCTTAAACCCCTGAGCCCTAAAAACCTAACCCCTAAACCCCTGAACCCTAAAAACCTAACCCGAAAGCGGCTAGAATCCCCGTGCTGTGCCTGGGCCTAGTTTTGGGAAGAGCAGTCGAAAGGGTTCCAAGTAGCAAGTTTTCGGCGTACTGCTATAAACCGCTCTCAGAGACCGACTTTGGGGTAAGCTATACTTATGTTACTCTGCACAGTAAGGGATACTAGCAGAGCACTACCCCAACCCTAAACCCTGAACCCTTAAAGCCTCAAAAACCCGATACCCAAACTGCATCCCTATAAACCCTAAACCCTGAACCCTGAACTCTGAACCCTCATCCTATAAACCCTAAACCAAGCGTGGATGAATAGCAGGTGTTTTCCGACAGTGTGCGTTCGAAGCCCAGCGGCCTTTCCAAGGAGGAAAAACAGGGCTCAGTACAGGGTTTTGGTGTTTTGGACTTTGTGGTTTAGGGTTTGGAGTTTTGGGGTTTAGGGTTTCGGGCTTTGGGGTTTAGGGTTGTGGGTTTTGGGCTCATCATTTGGGGGGTTTGGGGCTGGGGCTTCAGAGGTTTACATGGGTTTTGGGCGCAGGGTTCGTAACCGTGCGGACCAAATGACCCTTATAAGTAGGGGTCCTATACCCTTGTACTATGACGCTATGAAGCCCTATGGTATATGAACCTGAAACCCTTTCAGGGTTCATGTCGTCCTCAAGGAAGGGTGGGGGGTGGCTTTCGATCGGTGGTGCGTGACGTTTTAGCGGTTCTCGTGTTTGAATTTTCGGATCGAGAGCTGTTGGTATGAGCCCCCGGATGAAGGTTCGGATCCATTACCCTCACCTACCAAAAGCTACGTTTTTGTAGGTTCCCAAGAATTTCCATATTAGGGTATAGAATATGAACCTACAAAAAAGGAGGTTTTGGTTGTGTAAGGTGGGGTTTTGGATTTAGGGCTATGAAAGGTTATGAACCACGAATGAATGCTCGCTTCCCTTAAGGCCTTAGCCATGCCTTCGCAGCAGAATCCCTTACCGTGTCGTCGGCAGAATGCCTGTAACAACCTGAAACAAGCCTGTTCCCCAATGAAGGGCCTTCCGAAAGCGACTGTTACTATGCTGAGTGGTAGGTTAGGTAACCTTTAACCTTTTTGGGGGCTACTACAATCCCTGTATAATCCCAAAGGTTAACCTTTAGTTCCCCATGATACTGGACAAGTAGGTATGATGCCGCAGATTCCCGGGCCCAATTACCCTAAACCCCAAACCCTGAACCCTGAACCCTAAACCCTAAGCCTTAAACCCCTAACTGAACCTCAAAACCCTCAGCCCTAAACCCTGAACCCTCAACCCTAAACCCTGAACCCTAAACCCCAAACCCTAAACCCTAAAACCCTAAAATCCTAAACCCCTCAACCCCTAGAAACCTAAACCCTAAAACCCTCAACCTTAAACCCCTAAACCCTGAAACCCTAAACCCTAAAACCCTAAACCCTAAACCCTAACACCCTAAAGCCTAAACCCTAAAACCCTATAAACCCCAAACCCTAAACCCTCAACCCCGAACCCCTCAACCCTAAAACCCTAAAATCCTAAACCCCCAACCCCAAACCCTAAACCCTAAAACCCGGAACCCTAACCCCGAACCCCTCAACCCTAAAGCCCTAAACCCTTAACTTAACCCCGAACCCCTCAACCCTAAAACCCTAAAATCCTAAACCCTCAACCCCAAACCCTAAAACCCTATAAACCCTCAACCCTAAAGCCCTACACCCCTAGAAATGCTAAAACCCTAAAACCCTAAACCCAAAAAACCCTAAACCCTCAACCCTAAAACCCCCTAAACCCTAAAACCCTAAAACCCTAAAGCCCTAAACCCCTTCAAACCCTAAAACACTAAAGCCCTCAACCCTAGAAAGCCTGCTGCAGATTCCCGAGCCCAAGTCGCAACTCACTTACGGGCGCTAGGTTCCCCAGTAGTACCCTTTTGGCCCTTTTTCTTTTTGGGCTGCCTTAATCAAACCAAATACTAGGAACAAGGGTACCCTTATTATTTAGGGGCTACTGGGGAACCTAGGACAGCTTCTTTTGTCTTCGTGAGGGAACGGCACAATGGCCAGAAAGCTAGGGGCCTAAATACTTACCGATACTGTTGTGCGGGTTCCTTGTTTTAGTTATAGCACATTATATGAAATGAGTGTCGAAATAGTTACTTCTGACTTTAATAAGGAACCACCAAAATAGTACTTAATACTATTTTGGGGGGTTCCTCATAGTATAGTATACCCCCCCAAAATCCTCAAACCCTAAACCCTAAACCCTAAACCCTAAACCCTAAACCCTAATTATTAACTAAGGCCCCATGGTTTGAGGCATTGTCCTGAATCGCGGCTTAAGCCTAGAGGTCCCAAACCCGGAGCCTTTCTTTGGAAAATGGAGATCTTTAAAGAACAGGTTAAACGGCACAAGCATTGGCTTTTGCGTAGTTTTGGTATGTCTTATAATTGGAAAATTGAAATCTCCTAAGAAAGGTGGGTTGTTGTAGGGCAAGGCATGCCACAGAGTCACTAGCCGAATCGTAGGTACCAATCACATTCATCTCCCTCTTTCCAGTTACCTTCTTCTCGTACTTGTGGGACCCTGGTCATAAACACGGGGAGAGCTCGGACAGCTCTTCTTCAGAAGAGGAGGTGAAAGCCTTGGTGCTTCGTCGCAGCAGAAGGGGCCAGGAAGCTTTGCATAAAAGCGATGGCAGCACAGATGGAAGCATCCGAAGCAAAAAAAAAGCAAAGCGAAAGAGAAGTTTGCCGCCACGCGAAATGCGTAAGGTGACTAAGCAGGGGTTGACGATACCCATAGGCTCCATGGCAGTTCCTTTTTGTGGTTCATATTTAGGATCCTTGAAGGTAATCCCCAAAAGGAGTCCATGGGTACACCCTTATCAGACCCAGCGGCCTGCCGTAAGTGCAGGCCATCGAAGAAGCAGAAAAGTGACTGCCAAGTTGCAGGAGCTCGGAAACGTGTACTTCTCTACATTTACATTACGGTCCCCTTTTTTGTTTCTCAAAACTAGTACCGTGCCTCTATAAGGAGGACCCCGACAAGGGACCCTACTCCAAATTGAACCCTTGTAGTACCCTTATAGAAACCTGCAGAAACTCTTCCAGATCCCTGTCAGGGAGCCCCTATAGAAGGGACGGGGCAACCGAGTCGCGAAGCGCCAAACCCTAAACCCTAAACCCTAAACCCTAAATCCTAAACCCTAAACCCTCAACCCTAAACCCTAAAGGCTGGGACTTACAGGGATCCTGTCGGTCCCACTGTTGATGATATAAATCGGGTTTAGGGTTTAAGGTTTAGGGTTTCCTACATTAGCTAGAAATAAGGAATCTACCATAATTTCCATAGTTTATGGTCCTTCAGCTGATGCATGACTTTTATCATCAACCGTAGCTAGGGGAGCTAGAGCGTATGTATTTTATACCAAAGTCTTACTGTAACCCCGTGGAAGCCTTGAAAAAGGAAGCCTTAAGGGAGCTCTGGGCCTCACATCATAAACCAAAAAGCTGAGGCTACTAGTTCTTCCTAGTTGCATCGGCGGGCTCGACCCAGACCCTACAGTCCCTACAATGTAGTTGCTCTCCCAGAGCCCGATCTTTGGTCAGGAGGATCCTACAGTAGGATTTCAAGGTAACCCCCAACAAATTAAAAACGCATTATATAATTCGCTTGTCTTTGTAGGTTCCCACAATATCATTTTGCCCGATGAACTCCAGGGTTAAGTAGAGGTTGATGGGTTCCGAGGCGAGCCGATGGCGGCTGCGCCGCCGGAGAGCGTTGCTGCTCGCTAGGAAAGAGCGGCTTGTGGCTTAGGGTTTAGGTTCCAGGGTTTGGCTGAGTTTTGTAGGGCTTGATTTTGTTTTTGTTTAAGCTTTTGTCTATAGCAGGAGTCTTTTGGTTTTTAAAGTAGTATTTCGGGTTTCCAGGGTTTTCCTATGCGACCTGCGTCTCTGACTGAAGCTGAAGCCCCAAAGCTTCGGCTCAAACTCAAACTTTAAACCGCCACACCTTGAGCCTTCCAATCCCAACCCCAAGAAAGGCTTGCAGAAGAAGCAGGATACTGTCCCCTATCCAATTAAGGCATGCCCGATAACTTGAGAAAATTAAGCCCCCTCAAGCCTTAAACCCCCATACCTTAACACCTCAGCCCCTCAAAGCCCTAAGCCTCAAGCCTTAAAGCCCTAAAGCTGCAAGGCCTTCAGACCGCCTCATGCAATAAATCGACCCAAAACACCAAGCCAACATGCAGTGATAGAGCTCCTCCGCGACCTATAATGTAACTTTTCAATCCCTAGGGCTCCAGTTACCTATTAGAAGGTTACTGGGGTACATAATATAGGGTTAGTAACCTACTATTTAGGTAACTGGAGCCCTTGGGAACTATAATGACAAGGCAACAAAACATCGACGATTACAAACAGCGCGATATGACCTAAAAGATCAGGCAAGATCCGGAGATGGATCCTCCGTAACGCCCTTATGTAACCTGTGCGCAGCGCCTAAAGGCCCAGGCAACATCCCCTATACAAACCTTACCAGGCACAACCAGGGCAACATCCGTGATGGATCGCCTCGAATTCAAGCCCCCAAAACCCTAAAAACCTAAACCCTAGACTCTTTACAAAGAGCCTAGGTAACATCCGCTGTTGGGGCAAGAAGGCCGGCACGTACGCCAGCTGCTCCCAGGTGAGCCGCCTTAGAAGCTCTTCAGAGCTTTTGTAAGATTTAGGCTTAGGGGTTTAGGGGTTTGGGGTTGTTTGGGGTTTAGTGTTGTTTTGGGGTTTAGGGGCTTTGGGTTTAGGGGTTCGGGGGTTTAGGGTTTAGGGTTTGAGGCTTTCTCAACAGAACCTGTGGGATGTGTTTACGGACCCAGTGTTTCAAGATCTGGTGTAACACTCTTCTTCGCTTGTTCTTGTTTGAAAAAATTGGGCTTCGGGTTTGGGCTTAATATAGGGGCCTCAACAATTACCAATACTATTTTGGAGGTCCCTTATTATTATCATAGTATAATGTACCCCGAAACCTTATTCTAATCATGTGCCTAGTAATGATTCAATCCGTTTCAATTTATGGTTTGCTTCGCACGCCAACCCCCCAACATGCCTGAGCCTTTCTGCTTAGCCGTTTTTTTTTTTTTTTTTTTTT